ACTTCCCCGTCAAAATCTCCGTCCTCCATGGGTATTGAGTATGAAAAAGTTTTAACCTCATGGAATCCCTCGTTGTCGCCCTTTTTCTTGTGGTCGGCGAAGAACACTGGCCCGCTGGCTTTGCTGCTGTTTGCGCCCTTAGGCCGAATAAAGTCGGACGACTCTGACACGTCGATGTCGTACAAATCCTCGTCAAAGTCTGGGCGAGACGGCTTTGCGTCTTTATTAGTATTTTTCTTCGCTGGTTGCCCTTTGCTCGGCGTCTTGTCGCTCGCTTCTCTTGATACAGCGGGCCCCGCCTTGGTATCATGTTTACTCTGCTGCTTCGGGCTACGTAGAAATTGCTCCAGAGGCACCTCTGCGCTCTCGAGTGATTTAAGCACCGATTTCGATATTGGCGGGAGCGGTTTCTTCTTTGCCATGGTCTGAATCTCTTTTTTCAGCTTCTCGTTTCTCGCATCCGTTACCTTCTTGGAGTTGTGCAGTGCCTCGTTGTATTTCTGTTCCATATCAGTGCTAGCCTGCTCCTCGCTGTCGGCGACCTGCTCGCTGGCTGTGCTGGCGCGCACTATGTTGTGATACATGACGTTCTTCTTGCCCTGTTTGCTCTCGCCCGACTTCGCAAGCTTGCTCTCCCTGAAGCCCTTTGGCCGTTTGCCGTCCTTTGTGTTTTTCCCCGCCGGGGAGGGCACCGCCTCTCCGTCCATGGCCACGTAGTATTCTACCGATTGTGAGTCCTCGGAGGTAGTATCTCCGTCCTCCATGTCTTTGTTTCTACCCTCGTCGCTGTCCCCGCGCTCTCCCTCCTCACCACTGTCCTGAAGCTGGTGCTGCAGCAGTTGTATCCTAGCTGGTCCATCGTCAGAGTCAGTTTTAAGTGTAGGTTGTTTTGTCGTTTTGTCGGGAGGGGTCAGTCTAACAGTCTGCAGAGGTCCCCGTGACTGCTGAACTGCTGGAGCTTCCGAAAGCTTCTTGCTGTGCGCGGCCAAGTGCTTGGAAGGTCCGGGTGCAAACTTTCTGCTGGAGTGAATGACCCCAAGAGCGTCCTCGAGCACAACGCCCGGCTTGGCCTTGCGGACGGGGCCCGGTCTGTCCTTAAGCACGACGGGCGGCTTGTGCTTGTGCACGGTGCCCAGTCCGTCCTTGTCCACGGCGTACGCCACCCGTACGTTCCCGGGCGAGGAGGGCGCCTCGGCGCTGTCGAACGCCTCTGCCCCTGTCCGTATGTACGGCCGGTTGACGACCTCCGCGGAGTCGGGGCGCAGCGGTCCGGCCGACTCGGCGCCCTGTATGCTCGCCATGATGTCGCGATAGAAGCCGTACTTGTCGAACATCTCCGGCGCTGGAGTGCCCGCCGCGTCCACGACGAGCCCTACCAAGGCTGTCTCCTGCGGCAAGCCGACAGACGTCTCCTGAAAGAAGGGGTTGTCCAGGGGGTTTTCGCCGAAGAGCTTCTTCCTCATGCAGCCGATGACATCGCCGAGCGAGCCCAGCCGGGGGCCGTCGGGCTGCGGCCGCTCGTTCCAGGCGCCGTCCTCAGCGCGCTCGGGGACCACGTTGCTGGGCTGGCGGGGGCCGTCGCAGTGCACCAGGCGGTCGCGCGACTCGTAGAACTCCATGCCGCCCTCCGACTTGACGGGCACATCGTAGGGGTTGGTGGCGTACCGTAGCGGCGTGTAGCTCGTCAAGCGGTCGGACTCTGGCGCGCGGTAGAACGGGTACTTGCGCTGGTCGACGACGGGCCGCGCCTGGTAGGGCACCGTGTAGCTGGGCTTGGGGCGTGCGGGCGCGGGAGCCGCGTCACCCTTGTCGGCCCCCGCCCCGGTGCCGCCGCCGTCGTGGTTGTCGTCTTCGTCGTCGTCGTGCACCCATTCCGGATCATTCTCGTCGTGCTCTGGTACTTCTGTTGTCTCTTCCGTGTCGTCGTCCTCGTCGGTGGTGGCTGCGTCGTGGCTGTCGTCTGTCACGTCGTCGTTGTCTTCGTACCTGTGCGTCGTCTTGTCGACAGTTCGTTCGGCCGTGTCTGCCATCTCGGGCTCGGACGCTGTTGGAAGGGGTGTCGTCAGCACCTCGCCATCTGGCGACGAGGCCGCGGATGCCGCGTCCTGCGCGCCCTGCTCAGCTGCGGGTGCAGCTCTGTGTGCGCCTTGCTCAGCCGCGGGTGCAGCTTTGTGCGCGCCCTGCTCAGCCGCGGGTGCAGCTTTGTGCGCGCCCTGCGTAGCCGCGGGTGAAGCGTTGAGAGCGCCCTGCTCAGTCACTGCTCCGTGCGTCCTGTTCACATGTAGCGTGATGTTGCTGTCCACCAAGGGCTGCCTGATGACGGGTGCCTGTGTCGAGTTGGTGCTCTGTGCCGCGCTCCCGTTGATGGCCGTGGAATGGTGCCCAGCGTCTGGCGTTGCGATGCTGCCGTTGGTCGACCTGGCCTGCGCCCGCCACTTGCCTATGTTCATCATGAGCCTAATCTTGTCGGGCCTGTGCAGTGCGTCGGGGGCCTTCTTGTCGGTGACCTGGACGACGGGCGCAACGTACTTGATCGTGCTGGGGAGGAGCGCGCCGAGCACCGCCAGCGCTCGCGCCTCCAGCTGTTGAGTGGCCTCCGTCTTGGGGAAGGCGCTGGACCGCTTGGCCTTGGCGCTCAGCTTGTCGCCGAACAGCGGAGAGCGGTCTGGGGCGGCCCTCCGTAGCCGGGGCCCGATGCTGTCGTGCAGCTCGTCGATGCGCTGCTGCATGGGGGCGAAGGCCGTATCGTACAGGTTGTCGGCCTCCACGTTAGCGCTGCCCGCCGGCCTCTGGTCCAACGGGAAGAAGGGCTGCTGCGCGCCGCGCCACCCCACGTAGGGAGAGAAGTAGCTCAGCGCGTCCGACTGGTGGCTGGGCCAGTCGTACTCGGGGGCGGGCGGCGCCGGGCTCGGCCTGGTGCTGTGCACCACGTCCATGACGTTCTTGTTCAGGTTCTTGCGTTCAGAAGTCTCCACCACCGCGGATGTCACTTTTCCGGGTTGCCTGGGCGCCACCACTGTACCGTGGAGTGCTGCTTTGCTTGATGAGGGCGTGGGTGTTTGGCGGCCAAAGGGCGGTCCGCCATACCTCTCCGGGTGCCGATGAGGGAACGTGAGCCCCATGTCGGGACGCTGGGTTGGTGTGGCAAGGTCCGTCAGGCTTGCCCAGGCTGGCTTACCTGCCCATGGCGACGTCGGAGTTTTGGGAGGGCTGAGCAGGTTATCGATATTACTTAAGTAGCCCCAAGGTCTTTCGTCTAACTTTGGCGTGTTTTGCTTGTCGGAGAAAATGTCGAACTCGGGCTTATTACGTAGCGTCTCTATTAGTTTGTGGGGGAAGAGAGCCGGATCGTGCTTCTTGTCGTTTCTGCTGTGAGGGATGTCATTGGCTAGTGGGGAGCTAAGTTTACTGCCCTCACTGGGCTGCTTCTCAAAACGACTCTGCTTCCCTTGGAGCTCGTCGGCCTCCTTCACAGGCCTGGCGGTCAACTTGTCACTCTTGCTTGAGTCTTTGTTGCTTTGCAGCTTCGCTCTCTTCCTCGCCCTCTCGGCCCTTAGCTTAGAGATCCTCTGCCTCTTTCTCTCCCTTTCTTTCATCTTCCGCTTCCGCTTGGCCTTGGCCAGCGGACTATTGTTCTTCTTCCCGGTACCCTTTGGCTTCTTTCTCTCCGCGGGATATTTGAAACCGAGCAGCTGCGAAGGAATTTTTGACACATTTTTGTTTTTCTTTCTAGGTTTCTTCGGCCTTTTTGGTCGCGTTGGGGGGCGCCTTTGCTTGCTCCGGTCAGGCGCCGGGGTGGTCGGCTCCCGAGCCACGTTCGTGGACGCAACGGTGCTTGCCGGCGGTGGCCGGACCACGTTGCTGGCAGGCGATGCTGCAGTCGGCGCTGCCACCGTCGCCGTCCTGTTGGCCGACGGGGTCGTCGAGGACGCGCTGTCGGTGTGCTTCGCCGCGTACCGCCCTCCCTGGAGTCTGTTGGGTCGCAACGTCGTCGGACTGGTAATGTTGCCTCCTTCACTTAAAACTTTAACCTTGTCGTCGTCGTCCTTGACCACCTAAACAGAACACAAGTCAATGGCGAGTCCCTTTCCTAAACTGTCCTCTGCTTGCAGCTGTACCCACCTGAGTGATGCCCCATGAGCCCTTCGTGACCTTGTTGGCGCCGTGCCGCGTCCTGTTCCGCGGCGCCGCCGTGCTGGTTGCCCGCACCTTGCTGCCGCGGGTCTGCGAACCCGCCCCCTCGGGCTCTAGGACGTACTCCTCGCGGGTGTCGCCCTCGCCCTCGTGGTCGCCGTGGTCGTCGTGCTCGTCGGGCATCTTGACCATCATGGCCGTGGCCTCGTAGCCGGGCACCACCTCGTGGTGTTCGCCCGCCTTGTTGTAGCCGCCGTGGTCGTAGCCGGCGTCCTCGTAGCCCTCCTCGCTGTACACCTGCAGAGAAGAGAAGGTTGTGAGGTGGCCGCCTGTGCGCTGTGCGGGGTGCCGCCCGCTTCTCGGCTGCGTCGGTTGGCTTGCCTGCCCGCCCGGCGCGCGCCTGCGCCTGCTCACCTCCACAGTCTTCCGGTGCGAGATGGCCTCTCGGAGGCGGGGTGCGTTGGCGTACTCCTCCTCGTTGGTGGCCTCGGCTAGGGCGTCCTCCGGGCTGAGGTGGCTCACCGTCTCGTAGCGCCGCACCTAGGGGAACAGGGAGCAATGTGAATGTGCCCAAACCATATGGGGGCTCCAATGTCCGTCCTGATCCTTTTTCAATCCCCCCCCCCTTTTTTAACCCAAAGTGGGCAGGTGAAGGCGGCTCCGATTGGCAAGTGCCCCTGAAGCCCGCGGTCGCTTTCCTACGGTTCATTCGCATTGTAACATCTCTCTCGAGGGGGAATTCGCCTTTCTTTTCACCGAAAGTGAAAGACAGGTCCGCGAGTCCCGCCGATAAAAAGGGTTACGTGGAGGTGCTGTCGTGTGGTGTGACGGGGGTATGATAGGCGGCCCGCGCCCGCCTGACCACGAAATGCTTGATTCCATTGTCACCACATTAGAGCGGGGCGGGCGAGGCGAGCGCGGCAGGGGTGCAGCAGGCCGGCTGGCTGGCCGCAGTGTGCAGCGGGCGGGGCGGGGCGCGGCGGCGCGGCGCGAGGCGATCTGACCGCAGCAGCCCTCCACCTCCTTTCCCCAGAGTTGAGGGCTGCTTCCGGTGAGCCCGTTCTGCTTTCTGGCGACAGCTGGATCGAAGAGTCAGCCTCGTCTCAATTGCGCGACCGGCACACTGTTTTGTAAACTGAGAGGATACCCGCCCCGCGATTGGTTCGCCTGGCGCCACCCTGCTGCCCGCGTCCCCGCCGGCACGTGGGCGGAGAAAAACACAGGAAGCAATCAATCCATCCGTTTTACTACGTGTCGCATTCGTCGCTGTGCATGGAGCGTAAACGGGGCCCGGCCGAGGGGATAAGAAGTAGTGCAACTGACCATGCAGACTGGGCGGGCAGCGCGGTGCAATAATGCACACTGACTTGCAGAAAGCGGGCGAAGCGCGACAGCCGGGGGTTCTTGTGGGGCCGAGCAGCATATGCAACAAGCTGGGGCCGCCGAGCCCCACACCGCGCACCAGTGAATTATTTGCCTCCCCCCCCCCTAAAAACAAGGCCCTGGATGGGCGTTGTCTAGCTACCCATGCATTATCGACTAGATGGGCTTTAACGTTTTAACGTGTTTCCCAATGTAGGCGGGCCGTGGCCTCTTACCTGTGTAAAGCTCTGTTGGGGGATAAAGTCAATGCCGATCTCTGGGGGCGGGTGGGCCCACATGCCCTCGTGCGTGTAGTTGGGCCTGGTGGCCGGCTCTGGGGGGTTCTCGTGCGGGCTGATGTACACCTCCTGACTGCTGGCGCCTTCCGGGTTCTCGCCCGCCTCGGGGTCGTCGGCGTCCTGCTCTGCCATGAAGCGGTCCTCCTCGGCGTCCTCGGCGTCTAGTTCGCGCGACTCGGCCTCGTCGTCGCTTGCCAGCTCTGCCATTTCTTGTTTGTCCTCGGCGACCAGGTCGTCAAAGTCTCGGTTCACCAGCTCCGCCAGCTCGTAGGGTTCTAGATCGGCGGGCAGGCGGAGATGTTCCGGCGTTGACGACATCTCCTCACTGGACCGCGCCACGACGTCCTGGTCGTGTGTCGCCTCCGAGTCCAACGACATGTCCCCGTCGTGTGGCCTCTGCGCGCCGCCGCTCTTTCCCGACGACGACCCCTTGGCGGTGGACCCATTCCCCCTGCTCGACTTGCGCTGAGTATTCCGTGACTTTTGCGTCACGCGGGTGTATGTTTCCTCGTCTGTCTCCAGTGACGCGTCCGTGTCCCCGTCGTTTGTCTCCGAAGTGCTGCCTCTACCCACAGGCCTCTTTCTATTGGATAGCGTCTTTCTCTGTCTTTTGAGAGTAGAAGTCGGCGTTTCTGAAGTAAGTTGCTCCAAGGCATCCAAGGACATGTCGCCGTCATGTAGCTTACCCCGCACTGTCGACGGCTCACCTTCGCCCTTTGACGGCGACCCTCTGCTCTTCTTTCCCGCCTTCCTCTTGTCTTTGGAAGTCTTCGAAGTCGCTTGTGAGACGGGGTTGATGTGATCGCCGACTTCTAGAGCGCTGACTCTCCGTGGCTCTTCTGCTACATCTTCTAGTTCGGGTTTTCTCACCCTCTTTCTTGTATTGCGTGATCTCTCTTTTGTCCTTTTTCTTGTGGTGCCATGTTTATCTGCGACTTCCTCGGTGCCCTCAGCCGCTCTGTCTTGATTCAGATACTTTTCTGCGCCGTACAGCCTAGCGAGCTCCCCAAAGAGGTCGTAGTACTTGCCCCAGCTTGGGAACAACTGCTTGGTGGGGCGCTCCGTCGTCGTGGACGTGCTCGCCTCGCCCGCCGGGCGCGCTCTGCCCCTGCGCTTCTGGTTGGACTTGCTTGGCTTATTTTGGGAGGTTTTTGTCTTGGGTGATGGCGTTGTGGTCTCTCCTGTACCAGCCGTAGGCGGGAGAGTCGACGGCGACGCTTCTGTGTCAGGATGCGACACTAGGTGATCCTCGCGTGGCGCTGAGGATAGCGGCACAGAGTCTCCCGGGGGTCCCGGGGGTGGCGAAGTCAGCTCTTGCGGTGGCACTGGGGAGGGCGACGGGGCGTCTGCGTTTGGCACTGAGGACGGAGCAGAACTTGCTGCAGGTGGCACAGGGGTTGATGGCTTTGGGGCGGGCGCCTTTGAGGGGAAAGCTGCGGTTGAGGACTCTCCTGGAGTCTCTGACGTGGTCGTGGCTACCATTGCGACATGCTCTTTGCAACACTGATCACCATTTGCCGACCTCTGTCTTTTGCGTTTCCTTCTCTTACCCCGCGCCGTCGTGCCATTCTGGGGCGGCTCCACCCACACGACGCGCGAGGACGCCGTCGCACTTGGCGAGGCCCCCGCTTCACCCCCGGGGCCGGCCGGCCCATCCGCCCCCAGTGAGGGGTTATCCACACGACTTACCTGGGCGGCGGTGGCGGCGGGCGCGGTGGCGGCGGGGCCCTGGGGGGCGGAGGTGCCGACGGCGCGGCCCAGCAGCAGCAGCGGCAGCAGCAGCTGCACGGCTAGGGACCTGCGGCTGCGGCCCGACCCTGTGCCGCTCATCGTTGCACGCGGCCACACCTCATGACTGGGTACTCCGTTCCTGGACCGGCGTCGACGTAGACTGAGCGCCGCGGCGCCAGAAGTCGCGCGGGCCGCGGACACGGCGACGACTCGCGCCGCCGCCCCCCGCCACGCCCAACCCCAGCCGCCTGCCGAAACACCGCGCGCTGCAGCAGCAACCACCGCGGTTCATTGACGCCGGTTCTGGCCTACCGTCTTCAATCCGTGCC